ATGATCGCTATCTATATCTGCTCCTGGATAACTCCTACAGCCCTTCACTTGATTTTTAAATCTTTGCCTAACAAGTATGTAATCTAACTGATATCTCCCTAAATTACCTGGCATCTTCCACGTATAGCTCCTCCTGACGTGATGGTTTTCCTGTCCTTTCAATAAACTTAACACGTCTTCTATATCTGTATAAACCGTTTCTACGTCTTCATCAATGTTAGATGATGTAGGCATGTAGACCTGCACTAATACCGTTTTTACCGGCTTCAAGTTTAATTTAACCATAACTAGCCTATCGCTTTTTTGTAAATAACTTTCGACACTCTGCCCTACTTTCCTACGCATTACAATTCCTACCCCCGAATTACCTTCCACCGATCCTGTATGTATTATTCTAAAGTCTCCACTCCAGAAGTCTCCAACTTCGGGCCAACGGACTTCTCTTGTGCCTACTATATCTAGTTCTAAGCTATTCATCTCTACTTTTATATCTTCTAATTTCCCTACTTGTTTCATTGCCCTAACATTCCACAACTCGTGAAATATTGCATCTACCCCTACTGCACTTATTGATGACATGTGCCGAGGTAGTCCCCGCCCGGACATCCAAATGGGGGACTAGTTTACGTCCGGAGTGCTTTACCCCAGAGCACGCCTTCATGTAATTTCAGTAGTTGAACGTTTTACTCGGGATCATAATGTGGTAGTTTCCCGTTGCCTTCCACATCGCAGTATTGTACATCAAATGTCATACCGATCCTCGTGATCTCTGCCATCCTGAGTACTGAAAGACCTGCTGCCCTCTTTCAGGGACTTGTCTTAGTCTGTTTTCTCTTTAAGAACCCCGTACCACTATTATGATTGAATCTATAGTCCGGCATCGTTCGCAAGCCGATCCACCCACTCTTGTACAAGAGTTTCGTCAAGTCCCGTCGGATCGGCGGATTCTATTCTAATTCTAAAAAATTGCGGAGAGGTAGAGGCACAGAGGGTGGAGATATAAAATTAACCGATTTTTATGAAAATAAAATATCGATAAAACCATAGAATGAGGCTCCATCAGACATAAATTACTCCAACAAGTTTGTTACTAATATGTTAAGTTGACCTAGGTTAATTTCTTCAACAATATTGCATTTTCTACTTCTCCATCCTCAGCATCCCCTCCAAGCAACCTAGGATTGTTTTTAAAGTCGCACAGTCAAATTAAATGCTAAATGTATTCACCAACGCGAAATTCTGTAGATAGATAAATAGTTAGATACTCAGATCATTAAATAGTAAATTGAAATGAATATTTACATAAAACAACAAGAAAGATGATTATGCTATCGACGGTTTCAATTTTTACAGAATGTATTTTAGCAATAATGATTTTACGAGAAAAATACCTTTCCATTTGTATAATTGAAAATAATCCTGTGTTAAGTGCCAGTGCGAACGACAAATTTTATTAGTTATTTCGTTCAAAAATCTCATTTAAGAAAAAGATCTACTTTCTCGAGTAAAAACTTGGTTCATTTCGATAAGCTTCGATTTAATCAAAATCCTTTTATATGCTTCCAAATATCTGCTTGAACTAAATCGTACCTACACAAAAAACCTTAATATGGTTAAACCTTTTTAATCGAAACTCACTTTCCGAATGTATTTTGGAAGAGGTAGAAGTATAATTCGATTGATTGCGAAACTCCAAAAGATAATCGCCGTTATCTTAGGGCTTACGTATTCTGAATTAATCATAATTAAGCGAGTCGTATCTCACAATCAGTGAAGCCAGTTCAGCTGCTTGGAATACAGAAATTGTTGATTGAATGTCCGCGCTTATTCTAACAACGAAGCGAGTGTTGTCGTTGTCATGTTCCTTATTTTTCTCCGCGTTCGTGTGGCTCATATTATGTTATAAACCTTTTTAATTGAAAAATATAGTGTACTATTCCGCCACACTTGCGCAATTATTCAAATTTAGGCAGAATTTATCTTGTTAAAGAAGTAATCTGCCAAGTGTGTGAAGTGATGAAAACATCGTAGTGACACTTAGTCACATCAATAACTAAAATCTTTAAAAAATTTTTTTAATTTTTCTTTTTCTGTACTTATAGGTAAAGTAAACTATTCACCGCACATAGAAATTATTTATTTCTTCATCAGCGTTGTTTCCATTTTTATTTATGTTTCACGAGTGAAAATGCATAATTTGTTGAACATATGAAAAATGTTTTTTCAACCACGACTATATAAAAGTTCACCTGTTTCTCTGAAAACTATTCGAATTTTCAACTTTCTTTTTTGTGTAGCGTAGCACCCCTTTTCGAAATGAACTGCTACTATATATACTTTCTTGAAAAATGAACTCGTATAACCTAATATGGTATTCTTCTTGCAATGTGCAAATTTATAAAATACAACATTAATATCAAAAGAATATTATCGCCTATTCCACTTATCTATATCCGAAACATCCCAATTATAGTCTACAAAAATGTGAACTGATCGAATACAGTGGCGATTTTTCCTCATAAGATATTTCTTGCTAAAGTAATTTAACAAAAATGTTCCCAGAAATGTAGGTGGTAAACAACTAACTTCTTCCAGAACTGATAAAGCGTTATCGAAAGAGTCGAAAACGGCAAACCTAAAAATAATTCTGCAACTTTGTGTATATCAAGATAACGATACAAAAAACGTATGTATCAATTTGCAGAAACCAAAAATGATGATAAGTGACTAAAAAGATTATTTAAAACCGTGCGCACAAGTTTTCTTACCCTGTTGATCCTTAATAATGCGATTCTTTTTTAACTAATAAATGATTAAACAATACAGTTCTGTAAATCGTTTTCTCTGTATGTTAAAGTTATAGTTAAAATGTAATTTAATTTGCAGAAATCAAAACTCAAGAATTTCTCAATTTAAGATCAACGTGTATGTAATGCTTTTGCCTATAAAGGATGATAGGTGCTATTAATAACACATGCTTTAATAGTACGGTATATTTGAACAACTTAAGCTATGCATTATGACGTCACTACATTTCAAGGGGCTGTATATGACACGTGCTAAATTTACAAAAACTTTATTCCGTACTTATTCCACATACCTCCGTTAAGAAAATCATTTCAATGTAAAATTTAAAATAACATGAGTTCGTATTTCTTTTCGTCACTCATCATCATCATCATAGGGTCGTCAGTACTAAGACTGGTTGCACATGCACCTCCACTCTTTCCTATCTTGAGCTAAACTTCGAATTTCCCTAAAACTAGAACAGCCCACATCCTTAACTATTTGCGAACAGTAATCTAATCTAGGTCTACCTCTACCCCTCCTAACTCCTGTGCTATATGTATCTATAGATTTCATGGCTTATACTTTATATACAATATACATACACAACTTGTTTTCTCTGTGCTTTCTTTACATACAGTAAAAAAGTACACTCTGATCTCTTAATAAGATAACGAGCTATTAGCGCCCCGAAGATGTATATGTATAGAAATATCAAATAGGTAGGTACTGACGTGATCTACTTAATTGCTATTAGTTGGCAGAAAATAATTAAGTTCATGTATATGCTTCTAAACGTAAAATTATAACATAGGATAAGAGCATCTATTATTATTCTGCAGAAGAAAACGAATATTCAGAAACCACTGAAAATGTACGCGGTCTGTTCAAAAAGTATCGCAAATTTTGTGTTTTTTCAGAAATGATTTATGTAGGTATTCATGAATATCTATTTTGCTCCCTTCAAAGTAATCTAATCTACACTTGTGTCAACGTTTTTTCCAATCCTCGAAGCACTTCAAAAAATCATTTTTTGTGATCTAGTTCAGCTCCTCGTTCGATGCCGTCTTTATCTCCTCAATCGTAACGTAGCATTATCCTTTCATGGGCCTCTACAGTTTCGGTAACAAGAAAAAGTCACAGGGGACCAGATCTGGGAAATACAGTAGCTGCGGCATTATGAGTGTGTTGTTTTGACAAAAAATTCGCGCACAAGCAACGATGTGTATGCAAAGGCACATGGTGTAAAAGCTAATTTTTGTTCATCCACACGGGCATTTCTGGAGGATTGCTTCGCGTCAATTGCGCATAACTTGCAGGTAATATGTATTATTGCCCGTCTTACCCTGTGGCAAGAACTCTTCATGCACCACTCCCCTGCAATCGAAGAAAACTATGAGCAAAACCTTCACATTCGACCTAACTTGGGGCGCTTTTTTCGGTCTTGACTCGTGCGGCAGCTTCCATTGAGATGATTGAGCTTTGGTTTTCACGTCATAACCATAAACTGACGATTCTTCACCAGTTATGACCGTCTGAAGCAAATTTGGACCGTCGCGGACAAAGTCCAACAACTTCTTAGCTGTTTATGGTCGAAATTGAGCAATTTTGGTTCGAATTTTGCGACAACCCGTCTCATGCTCAAATCATTGGTAAAAATTGAATGGCAGGCCAATTGATATGTGTAGGTCTTTAGCAACTTCTCTTCATCAATATTGTCGTCTGTTGTTGACGTAGTCGAGCGTCCGGCCCGCTCTTCGTCATTCACATCTTCTCGGACCTCTGAGGACCTTTTGCACCGCTAATAAACGTTGCTTCGGCCCAAGGTAGCTTCACCATATCTCACAATCAACGTTAGGAATGCGTCCGCGCATTTAATTTTGTTTTTCACACAAAATTTGATACAAAACGCGTGCATGCGAAGCAGCTGTCAAAAATTAACTGAACATTCAACATGACCAGAATTGTCTGTATAAATGAGAGACATCAGTACCAACATAACGTCACAAAAAAACCGAAAATCGAATATACCTACGTAACCCGAGGAAATTCAAAATTCGCGATACTTTTTGAGAAGACCTCGTATTCACAAGAATTGATAGCGAAGTTTAATATAGTAGAATACTTGGATAAAACTCACATATATCTTTCTGCAAAATTTAAAAGAATAGAAACTTGAACATATAAATTCTACTCCACTTTTCTTGTTTCAGAATCTGCTTAGTTCTACTCCTGCTCCTTTACCAGAGTACAAAACTTCTGCGGTAAAAAAGAGCAAATTTATAATAGCACATTATGGAATGTTCAAAAGTTGTTGGGATTGGCTAATACTAATCGCAACTTTCTACGTTGCCGTGGTAGTTCCATACAATGCAAGTTTCATCAATGATGAAAGACCATCTGTTATAATGGACGTGGTGGTAGAAGCACTTTTCTTTATAGGCAAGTACGGCACGGACTATTTTTCAATAATAAAAACATGATACCATGTCACCATCTAAATTACCTTTCAATGTTTAAAATAAATTTTCAACATATATTAGATACTTTAGGAACGAATTACGGCAAACTTCACCCGCTTTTATGAGTTAAAAAAATTATTAATTATGATTTTCAAGAGTAACTCAACTAAGCGTTTGAATTTCTACAATAAAACTTACAAAAGTAGATCTAAATAAACTTTCATACATTTCACGTGTAAAATTATACTAGATGTGGTGTATACTGATTGAATTCCCAGACAACGATGAGAATCCTTGTCATCCAACATTTAACATAGCGTAGGTTCCAATAAGAACTTAAAAACGTTTATACTACGAAATAAACGCAAATCCCTTAACATTTGTAACGAGTAGCTAATGGAAATATTTTTCATTAACCATTACTTTTGTAATGAGTATCTAAGTAACGGAAAATGTTTACGCTAACAGTCTGTAACGAAAATATTTCAAATTCATCGTCAGTTAGAAGAAAGTAATAGTTATTTGCAATTATTTCTACATGTTACTAATTATAAAAATAAGGTTCAATATAAAATTTTTATATTACCCATTATAAATGAAACAGATAATTTAAATAATTTACATTATCCGTTACTTTAGTAAACAGTACCGTAAATTATTTAAATTACCTATTATAATTCGTTTAGTTTCTGTAGCGATGTGACCTTCAGTTTGACCGGCGCAAAGTAGAAAAGAACAGCACTAGGCCAGAAAAGGAAGGAGACAACTCTCGGCCAAACTCTTAACCGGTGAGGAGCGTATAATCCGTACAGTACTGCACGGAAAAATTGACCATTTTATCCACTACAATTGCATTGCTCAAATGTGCTGTTATTGGTACCATTTACTACTGAAAATATCAACGAGATGTTTATTTATATTTAAAGATATATTAAAGGCTTAAACGCTTGTTTTTGACTCGCACTACTATTCATGATTGAACAAAACTTTTGGCAAGTACTGTATGAAAAAGTATGTTTAATGAATAAGAGTCGAGAGTATAATGAGCTTTTTTCTCCCGACCTACGATTTTGCCAGCGCGCATCCAAGACTTTGGAAGGGGCACATCGCTAGAGAAAGTAAATGAAGTATACTTTCGTAATAAGCTACGCTAATATTTTCGCACTCCTGATTTACAGGTGTGTTTTTGTGTTAAATAAATTACTTACGAGATCTGATCAAAAAAAATAAAAAAATAAACAGATCAAATTGGAAATTATTTACTTCGAAGCATTCCCTTTGGGTAGCGATAAACTTACCCCAACGTTGAAAGTATTTTTCAAAGGATTCCTTCGAGAGGTCCTTTATGTGTCAAAACTTGTTTCTTCTAGCACGGTTTTTATTTTTAGAAATAGTTAGAAGTCGCCTGGTACTAAATCCGGAATGTAAAGCGCATGTGAACACACAAGAGCCTTTTTTCGGCAAAAGAACTCGCGCATCAGAAGCGGAATGTGACGTATCGCGATGTCTCACTTTTCTGGTAACTTTTTCCGTGTAACATTTCGCATGCGTTTCCGTAAGTTCTGTAATATTCGAAGTTTAAAATTGTTAGTCTTGAAAGAACCGTATTTACTTTTTTTGCCCGTTTTCGTATGTTTACGAAATCGTCCCGACCATTGCTCATCTTCAACCGACTCATATTCGATTTTAAATCGCTCATAACACTTGCGAACAGATTCTGGAGACATCAATTATTGTCATGCGCCGACTTTAGCACTTCATGCGCATGTTTGTTGCACGTTGTTCGAAATCCATGATGCGTGGTAAACAAAACCTCACTCTTGCGTCTTGCAACTGTGGAAGTCGACTGAAAACTGACAAGTCACAATTTGTTCTGACACTGACTCTCTTCATTTTAACAATTATATTATTGAGCGTATTACTTTAAATGGATTGTATAAAAATTCATTAACCGTATTTTTTTTGTCACACCTCGTATACATGGTTTTTCACGTAGCCCGATCGTAAAAAATTTTAAATATAAAATACGACTAGGAAGTCATTTCGAAAGGCAGTTACCCTCAATCCAATGATCTTCAAACATGCTAGTTAGTTCAACCGTTTACGTCATTAGTATTGTATGCCCTGCCTCGTCCATTATATGACAGCCACCTTTTAACAATGCTAATAGCAAATTGTCCAAAAATGTAGACACAACTCGTCCTAGTATTCCTACATACCTCTCCGAATTTAAAATCCCATCATAATTTCATTATTATGTTTTAGGACAAACACATTAAAAATAAATCTATCCTGGAATTTTGACTCCTTAACAATATGAGGATTAAATGAGTCCTAAATGTGTAAATTTCTCCGATCTACAATACCCTCTCTCGTAAATTTAGACTAGTCAGTCCATATAGTTTTGGACAACAAAGTTGGATCATCTTGCAACCGTATTAACATAAATTCACAAAATTCAATCCTTCTCTAAATATTTGTAAAGTAACACAGGAATATAGATGGATTTACGATTGTGCATTATTCTGTGAACCGATGCGACAGATATTCCCAAGTCATTTGAGGCTGCAGGAATGGAACTTTTAGGGTTGGCGTTAAAGTAAGCTAATACACTGATTTTCGTCTTCAGTTACGGGTTTTTGGTACAATTTCTTTGCCCCAATTTCAAAACATGGAAATTGTGCTTCTATTCGCCTGAATTTTGTTTTGGTCAGATGAATAGGTAGATAGATAGATTCGGATACCTTTGGTTAAAAAGACGAAAAATCCTCTCTACAACTTTGTGGGTTCTCCAAGAATGTAAAGTAATTTGAAAATATCGTTATTGGTATAATTGTTCTGTTCGTTTTCCATTTTGAATTCTCAACGCTGTCGAAACTAATATAAAACAAGAACAATGTTTGTCTACCATGATCAGGCATTTAAAAATGTAATAATGTAGGCTTTTGTCAAAAATTTCTTATAACTGAAAAAGTATTACAGATAAGTATAGGGAATCCTTATATCAATCGACGCAGAATTCAATTTATGTTTACTGATGGGATGATTTACAGGGTGTTCCATTTAAAAGAACTACAGCGTGTTCCAAGTCTTATAAGTTGGACGCTACATTTTCAACACCCTGTATAAATTTACGATACTAAGAGCATAATTCCAGATAGAGATAAGTACGAGGTAGCTGACCACTCAATATGGCTACGGCAGTTTCAGAATTAGCTGAATAATCCGCTATTTAGCATGGGAATGCATTTTTCAAAGTTTTCAGAAAAATCAAAATATCTCGAAAACTACTAATTATTCAAATAGAGTTATATAATCAACGTTGTTCTAAAAAGGTTCAGTGAATCTAAAATGTCATAAAAAAAATCGGTTGTCTGTAAAGTCGGTTTACTGACGATAGTTGAACGTGACAACGTCATAAGAAAATACTGATGGAATGGTTTCATTTTTCAAAAGAGAATTTTAATTTTATTTGTTTGATAGATATTTTGTATGGATATAGAGAAGGAGGTAAATGGAAATGTATTATTGTATAGCAGCTGTCCACGCGGACGCATCGCTCACTCAAGTAGGAGAGAGACAGATGTCGAACGCTGCCGAACGCGGAGGCCGATTGTGCCTCTTTGTCGCTCGTTCCGCGCTCTCGCTTGCACTTCAAGCCTTAAATGGAACGCCTCAGAGCGAGGTAACGCCGCATGAGTCATGTTTTTTCGTGCCTCCATCGATTATAAGACGTTGTCACGTCAAAAAGCATTCCGCTTAAAATAAGTTATAAAGCATAACCAGAAGTGACTGACGATTGCAAAAATTTTAATTAGAAAGAGTGTCAGCCTTTAGGCTTTTTTTCGCAGTTACAAATTTCTAGTGGTACTTTGCAGTTTGAAAACTTTTAATGAAAAAGTTATGTGAAAAACCCCGTATATAAGACACTTGTTCAAACAAATAGACATACTGGAAATATTATTTCATAGTTTTTGTTTTACGTATATTTTATGGTCTTCTCCCCCTGCTCCTTATAGCAGAAAAACTTGAACCACTTTAATTCCTTCCTACGTGTAGGTATTTACGAATACTTGAACCAAATGGAATCAAAGGCATGTATTTGCGTCCGTTACAAATTAATGATTGCCACTGATTTAGTTCGAAGAACCCTAAATGCCACGTAGCCAATGCGATGTTCAAATAAGTTCGCATATGTATTTTCCCGAGATGAAAAACGACAACGATTTTCAACGCGGACAGTATACGGATTAGGGCGTCAGGTGTCCTTTTTAAGAATCCCTTAAGCACTTATTCCCTCTCTACCACCTCCTTTTTTCAGAAAGGTACCTTTTAAAACAAACCCACGGGGAATGTTTTAAAATGGAACGCATTTACCCTTTTAACGCGTGCTTAATTATAAAAGCAACAGAAAAAAACGTCAAACACAAACCACTAGCTAGTGATATTCCTTTTACCTTGAAAGAACAATACGTTGGAATGTGTTCGTGATGGAAATTTTACACCTCATAAAAATTGAAAGACCAACTTCACCAGTAAGAGCAAACCATAGCAAGTATAAAGTATGAATAATTTGATAAACGTATAGCAGAATGGATACATAAAATAAGATGTAAAGGAATACACAACTTATTCTCACCTACGTAACTGTACCATTAAATGTGTTTACAATGATATTTTGCTTAACGGTTCTCCTTCAAGGGCATAGCCATGGGTACGCAAGGGCAACGTAGAAAATTTTGGGTCTGCTTCAACCGTTATAGCTTACGGTTTCTACCGTAATTTGCTAGCTGTACAGCAATAAAGAATATTTAAACAAGTGTGAAATTGACCTCCAATTTTTGAATAACATAATCACAGGTGACGAGTCATGGATCTTTGAGTATGATCCCGAGACAAAGAGGCAATCTTTGGAGTGGCACACGCCGGCGTCTCCTCGCCCAAAAAAGGGAAGAATGAGCAAATCCAAAGTGAAAACGATCCTCATTGTCTTTTTTGACATGAAAGGCATCGTCCACCATGAATTTGTTCCTCCTGGACAAACCGTCAACGCCAAGTTTTACGTGGAAGTGCTCAAGAGGCTCAAACGAAGGTTCAATCGGGTCCGACAAGACATCGCAGCTGACTGGAAGTTGCACCACGACAACGCTCCGGCTCACACCGCCTTTCTTGTGGACAGCTACCTGACCAAGGTCGGCATCCCAACGCTTCCGCAGCCGCCCTGCAGCCCAGATGTGGCCCCCTTGCACTTTTTTTTGTTTGCTCGCCTGAAAAGGCCAATGAAAGGCAAACATTTTGAGACGACAGAGGGGATCCAAGCAGCATGCACCGCGGGTCTTAGCCAGATTTCACACCGTAGTAGCAAATGCATGTAACGTAGCACGTGGCGTGGCAAATAGCAGCGAAAATATTTAAAACGCACCTATGCGAATGGTGATGTACACACTGACGTGAAGTAACAGTGCCGTGGCACGTAGCATACCTACTGCCACTTGCAAAGATAGGTTTGGCGATACATTTGCCACCTGTAATTTCCGTGCAGCCTGGCCCTGCTGGTTCGAAGTAGTTTGGAGGTAATGCATCTGAGTTGTAGTACATATTTCCAAAAACATCAGGGTAATAAAATGAATGATTTTAATGTACACTTTGTACAAGAAATAGAAAAGCAGAATTGCTTGTATGACAATACAACTGCTGAATATAGTAACCGGGATATGCAAAGAAGTAGCTTGGAATGAAGTCGCAAAAATAATGAAAGGAACTCGTAAGTTTAGTCTTTTCTTCGTTATATCGTTCTTCGACACTCACTGCCCTCCTGTAGTTGGTGTCTTTAAACGTCAAATTATTTTTCATTACCTTTACTAGTTTTGTAAAAGTTTTTCTTTCCATCCGATAAAAATTTTGAAATTTTCGTGGATGTAAATTCAATTGCTTTGAAATAATAAACACGCTGTGTTCATTTACATTTTCTAATAAATACGGATGTATCCACATCCTCTTCCGCTTTTTTCTTCTATTTATTGCGGCGCAAAGTAGAACCGTAGCANACGTGGCGTGGCAAATAGCAGCGAAAATATTTAAAACGCACCTATGCGAATGGTGATGTACACACTGACGTGAAGTAACAGTGCCGTGGCACGTAGCATACCTACTGCCACTTGCAAAGATAGGTTTGGTGATACATTTGCCACCTGTAATTTCCGTGCAGCCTGGCCCTGCTGGTTCGAAGTAATATAGTTTGGAGGTAATGCATCTGAGTTGTAGTACATATTTCCAAAAACATCAGGGTAATAAAATGAATGATTTTAATGTACACTTTGTACAAGAAATAGAAAAGCAGAATTGCTTGTATGACAATACAACTGCTGAATATAGTAACCGAGATATGCAAAGAAGTAGCTTGGAATGAAGTCGCAAAAATAATGAAAGGAACTCGTAAGTTTAGTCTTTTCTTCGTTATATCGTTCTTCGACACTCACTGCCCTCCTGTAGTTGGTGTCTTTAAACGTCAAATTATTTTTCATTACCTTTACTAGTTTTGTAAAAGTTTTTTTTCTTTCCATCCGATAAAAATTTTGAAATTTTCGTGGATGTAAATTCAATTGCTTTGAAATAATAAACACGCTGTGTTCATTTACATTTTCTAATAAATACGGATGTATCCACATCCTCTTCCGCTTTTTTCTTCTATTTATTGCGGCGCAAAGTAGAACCGTAGCAATTTCTTCGTCCGACAATGACGACATCTTCTATGCATCTATGCGATTGCTACCTTGATGTGAACATGTCTGCATCTTTTTTGTCACGTTACATGCTGCTAGCTACGTATCGTGCCACGCTACGCAGTATGTTACTTCGGTGTGAAATCTGGCTTAAGGCTATCCCGGAGAATGCCTTCCGTGACGCCTTCAATGCTTGGAAATCGCGCTGGCAGCGCTGCATCGACGCAGAAGAAGCCTACTTTGAAATTTTTTAAAGAATCGTAACGATTGGCTCAATAATATTTTTTTAAATCGACTCAGTGCTATTACTTTCCGGACAAACCCTGTACAATAACGACAAATATGGAAATTACTGATGCTGATTATCCCAGTTGCTTTACTAAAAAGTTTTAGTGAGACATTCATTTCATCATCATAAGGTCGAGTCAGTCCTAAGACTGGTTGGACACGCACCTCCACTCTTTCCTATCCTGAGCTAATTTTCGCATTTACCTAAAACTAGAACATCCAATATCCTTAACTATTTGCGAACAGTAAACTAATCTACCTCTACTCCTCTTAACTCCTGTTTCTGTGTCTAATATGTCTCTGACTAGACCTGATAATGTGTCCTAGCAACCTATCTCGCATATTTCTTATTGACTTCCATAGAGTCCTCTTTTCTCCAATTGTTTCTAATACCTGTTCATTTTTAACCTTCTCTATCCACGGTATCTTCATCATTCTCTTGTAATTCTAACCTTCGTCTGCCACGCTCCAAACATACACCTTTAACAATCTTTTTCAAATTTCTAAATTAACCGTTTGCGAGCAGAAAAGTGCTTTTTTTATTGAAGACTCGACTCGCTATCCTCTGCTTTATATCCCTACTAATCTTTCGTCTTGACTTACCTGACTTCCTAGACCCAAAAATCAGGCACTTCCACTTTTGCGTCTCCTATCTTTATATTCGCTGTTTCCCTACTTTTTCTTCCCTGGAATACCAATATATTTGTTTTCTTTTTATTTATTTTCATACAATATTGTTTTATCAATACAACTTTCATTTTATTTAAAGCTATCCATAACTTCTCCCTAGTCGATCCTAATACTGCTGTAACATTAATTTGTAATAACTAATAAAAACCTAAAAATCCAATGCGGATTTTAGATTTTGTTCGTACAATGAGGACCACGAATTAACACTAATTACAATTTGAGTATATGGTCTTTACTTTTTGGGAGTATATAAAAAGTTACTGTTTCGGTATGCTCACATTTGTAATACCTACTACAAACAAAATTAACGAAAACATTGCGATAGGTATATGTAGGTATGTATCTTTGCGGAAAAATTCGTTTTACTGTCTCCCCTGAAGTCTATCCTAATTACACAACCTGACTACGGTCCTGTTCTGTTTTCGGCATTCGCATAAAAATATTTTCAAATAATACGCGCAATTGTATGTCACCGTTAGAGGACTACATTAACTTTTTATTGTTTGACCGCATGTAATTTTTTGTGATATAAAACTTCCTTCTGAATTTGAACGATAGAAATTTCGCAGTATTTTAGTCGGAAATAACCATATTTGATGCAGTTAGGGTTGCCACCTTTTCAGGCTTTACATAGAGTATTTCTCGACTAAAAGGTTAAGAAAAAAAGTACTCGGCATAAAAATAAAGTATTTTATTTTTTGTTTTTAAAAACATTTTTTTTGTTACACCTAGCAGCCAGTAACAAATTGCTGTCGCTCTTAAATACATTAATAGCCTCTAAACATGGCAAACAAAGATTTAAGTAAACTAAAAGTTCATTTTTAATTAGTTTTAATGAAGCTTTATTCCTGTCGTCCCGCCACTTTGCGTTCATAACAGAGAATACTCTTTCTGTAAATGCTGAAGTGGCCGGAACGGACAGCAAAAGTGACACTACTTTGAACAGATTTGGGAAATCAGGTTGTTCCGTAAATATGGCTTGCCATTTTTCTGTGCAATATTATTGATGTAAAAATACTCTGAATTTCGAATAATCGCTTACAAAATTACGATGTTTACTTAAGGCCTTAAATAAAGTATTTTTGCGTACTTAATGTGTCTTGTAAAGTATAACGTACGCACAGTCGAAATAGAGTACAATACTTTATAATAAAGTACCGGTGGCAACCCTAGATGCAGTATACCTTAACAATCAGGTAAACGTTCGGCAAATAATTTCGTATCGAAATGATTTTATTTTTATGTTTGGGATGTTCCATTTGTCTTAGATACATAAAAGCTTTATGTACATAACCCTAACATCACTCCTTGTCTTTTAACCCTTTATATATATATACCCAGAAATTTTAAAGAAAGAACGATAAAAGCGTAACTAATAAATTCTGACTGCCGCTTTTTCTTATTTTGCAGACATAATTTTGAACTTTCGTACTTCCTACGTGAATAAAAAAGGCGAAGTGGTATCTGATTGGAAATCCATTTCCATCAATTACCTACGCACATGGTTCTTAGTGGACCTGCTTGCAGCCCTACCCTTCGATCTTTTATACGCTCTCTACGGCGGAGAGGTAAGAAAATACAATTCCTTTTTACTTGTTAGACAGCTTTGTTGTGTAGAACTTTCCCATTATATTTAATGGCAAGGGTGTTGGTAACTACAATTATAATCTTATCTATACATCAACAGAATTTATTGAATGGTTTCGACCTTTGCCGGAAGAAAACCTACAACATTAATGGAAAAATGCAATTTTGATATTTTCAAAGTTTTTTGTTTACTTGCATCATATACGTTTCGCCAAGTATTGACTTCTTCAGGCGAGAGTATTTATTAGGTACTTTTCCGCCGTTTGCTGATATATTGCGTTAACAATACATTGTGTGTGTATTTTATAATAATAATGCATCTACATTTCTACATAGAAAGTATCTCCTGTAAGCAAAGTTTAAGATTTAGTATATTTCATTTTATTGCAGTGTTAATAACCGATTTTTTATTAGATTGAACACACAAAGCAGGAGAGATAAGCGGGAAGTCTTATTGCTTCATTAGTTTTTTTTTTAAAGAAAAGTGTAGATGAAACTCATGGTTTACTCGTGGAAATTTATGATGCTCTATCTGAAAGACTGTGATGCAATCAGTAAATGCTGTAAAATAATTGATGAGTGGTGTATCTGCTTTCAGCTTCATTTCCAGAAATTGATGTTTTCTAATTGCAAGTTGAGAAGGAAGACTTTCCTCGTAGATTTTATTTAGCTTTTTGTATGTTTCTGCATCTTTTTCTTGTTAAAATGTTAAAAAGGAGTCATTTATTCCATTTCTTGTCTTTTGAAAAGATGCATCTTAGTCACATCAAGTTCATTGTTCATCTAATAAGGCACTAACACGTAACTTCCATGTACTGTAACACTGTCCATTAAATTTTTCTTTTATTTTAAACTTACCATCGTCATTCTCGCTTTTAATAGCGCGCAACAATGATACGCACACCAGTATCAATTAATTATCCTTTTTATATCGATCAAGTTACATAAATCCGAGCCCATTTGGGGTAGAAAATTAATTTAGCTCTGAGATGAAGAAGAGAATGATAAGATGTGAGAACATTTACATCATCTAACATTAAAAGCACCCTGTAGGTATGTGTCCGTAAATGTAACTCTTAGAATTAGAGTAACTAAGAGAAGGTTTGGACGGAAATTGATTCAATTCCTAATATTAATGCGAAAATTCTTTCTTTAATTTTTATCCACTATAAATTATCTCAAATTAATGCGGAAAAATTGTTGCTGCTGTCACACTCTCGCTGGGAATCGAACCCGGGACCTTTGGCTTTACTCACCTACGCTCTGACCACTAAGCTACGAGAGGTGACAACAGAAGGAGCGTGTAATAGCAGCAACAATTTTTCCTCGTTAATTTGAGGTTATTTACAGTGGATAAAAATTAAATGTCAATTCCTTGTTTTATTTTTACCTAAGTCATTAGCAGCTTTTATAACGTTATTCAAAATGATTTCGGACATACGAAATTACAATTCGATAACCTAGTAACCCTGAAATTTGATTCGTCTACTATTGTTTCGAGAATTATAAACCACTATTGTAATTCTAATACTCCACACTTTATAACCATCTCCACATACTAGAAAAGTCGACATCATCTGCATTGCACTAAAACATATAGATAATCCAAAATAAGATTTATTTGCGATATCGACTCAATTCGAAGTTCAATTTCACGTAATGTTCCTTTTAAAACTTCCAAGTCGAGTGCCATTAAAATGAAATTTCTCGGTCAGTTAGTCGTATAACTGCTCCGGATATAGATCGAAATGAATCGTGCAGTTACCTATAAGCCGCCGTGCTTCTCGGAGAGATGTAATCTATCTCAAACAGTGGAAAAGCGTACGTGTACGACAAGAAATGAACGTCAGAAACATCGTCGAATAAATAAATAATGAATTGCAGGATTTGCTTTTTACAAAGTTGAAACAAATAAACTAAATTCAGAAACAGTTTTGTCGCATGTTTCGAAACAACATGTTAAAGTTTGCAAAATCAGTAACAAAACCTTCTGTTGTAAATTGTCAAGTACCTCGCTTTCTATTTCATCGTCTCTCTCTAGATCGTATCTATCTGTCCTTGTTTTCTCCTTTATTTATGACTTTTCTGTACTTTCGACCACTATTCGCCTATCCTTCTCTTGCCGGTTGCTAATGCTTCTGTGCTGTCTTTCTCTATCTCACCACCTTTTCACCAAGTTTGCTGCCAAGTCGCACGTTTCGTTTCATTCACCGTTCATTCACCGTTTTATTCACCGTTTTATTCACCGTTCTTGTTTCACCGAGTGTACGCCGATTGAAGGCATTGTATATATTGTAAATAGATTCAATAGATTCTACTATATTTACAGTGTTTTTTCAATCCCCAACAAAAACCTGCAACCCTTTAATTAGGATTGCTAGGACGTTTCATGCGATAATATAGCCGCCGATTCTGAGTCACCGAATCGTATGAAACACATTTTTTGGTCCTTCGAGCCGGATTGTGAACATTTAGTTACTAATACAGTGTGTATGAGCCGCACCTTAATAAATTAGTGACATATAATAGTGTAAACAGTTCAGTTAATTAGTGCACGTGAAAGTGCTCCTAACATTAGTACTGGATTATCATTACATCGTTTCACTACAACCCTTGAGAAAATCATCGCTGAAAGAGTCGTCACCGAGAGGTCATCACCGTGAGAGTCACCGCTGCGAAATTCACCGTCGGAACCGTCATCAACCAGTCAAGGTAGGTTCGTTAATTTGTTACAAATCGCCATTCCTTTTGTTATCCTTTCTACTTAACCTAATCGCCACTCAAAATGACCGACGAATTACAAAGATTACACCGCAGACGAGGCTATGTACTAAGTACTATCACTATTTTATCAAAAACACTCGACGAATGGGATTCGAACCCCAACCAACGCGATGCTGATTATTTGCAAGCCACCTTAGAATCCATGGAAAAGGCCTACAAGAAGTTTGAAGATATTCAAGAGCAGTTAGAAGATATCGATGAAACAGAAATTGACCACCGGGAACCGATTATAATAAAATACAACACCGCTCTTGGAAGAGCCCGAAAATATCTTCGTGAATCACGCTCTCCGACACAGTCAACATCAAGTTCAAGTGAAATTCAAATTGTACCATCGTCAAANTATAAATAAAAATTATTGCCAAATATCTTTTATCAATATGAATCAATATTGGATAAACATTGTATTATAATATAGGAAAAAAGTACATTTCCTATATATTACCAATATTGACTAAATATTGCCAATATTGGGCCTATTTATAATATTGTACCAATAAAGAATCAATATTGGGTCAATTTCGTGTGCTACTGGGGTAAATACTGACAAATTATTTCATTCTGCGATGTAAATGAATTACTTATACATTTAATCTGGAAGTCATAGTAAAATCAGCAACTAAATAAAAATTAAAAAAAAAGTTAATTTTTCAAATTATCGGAAAATGGCGTTAAAACTGTGATAATTTGTTGAATTTGAATGGTGAAAGGTAAATCTGTATAAGGTTATGTGATAAATTTTCCTCTTAAAGAACAAGATTTTAAAGCTTGATTTTAACGATTAATTAATTAACTAATGTACAATTTATTATAATTTCCGTGTGACCAATCGTTCCGCGTCCTTGTTTAATAAATGCAGAATGACAAAAGAAGTTCAATCCAATATAATTTAGGTATTATCAGCGGCCTACGGGAACATGACTTCCGAATTGACAGAACATATATATACATATCTTACAACCACAGTAATTAATCTGGGTATTATTTATACTGTCTAACTATTACGATCTACCTAATGCCAGCACTAATACAGTATGCAATTTGCACATAATTTATAACTATCGTTGCTATTTCGTAAACTCATTGTTTGACATACCTTACTAAACTTGCAAATTTCGCCACTACAATACATGCTAAATGTTATTGTCTTCGTACATATGTAAACGCTTTCTGATGGTACAGTAAAGTCAGCTTAATTTCACCGATCCAATGCAAACACTTTCAAACTAATGAATAAAGTTTGTAATTAATTATATGAGTATTATGTACTGCATATGGTACCTACTTAAATAGAAGGAAAATGACTACGCTAAAACGAGTAGTTAATACAGGAAAACTGCATTTATAAAGTTCACAGCTCATTTAGATACTAATAGACTGATAAATGATGTACATTGTACCTGTTGTGTATTAAGAATTTTTTATTTAAGGCCCTAAATTGAATTCAAATAGAAATTAGTCGTACAAACCAGTAGAGTTCGTTTAAAATACTGTTTTTGAATAATATACAGTGTGTCTACTTATATAGCAAACTTTTTTATTTTTAATCTTACGAAAAAAAGTTACTCTTTATAAAAAGTCCTGCATGGTGTAAAATACATAATAACATCACCAGACTTAATAATTTGTCAGTCATTATACAAGTTTTGACATAAAACATGAAATTTGTGTAACAGTTACTTTTGAAAATAGCAGAAAACATTATAAAGAAAAATTGTTGAGAATTAAAAAGTAGTTACAATATTTCTTCATACTTTTGCTCCATATGAGAAAATACTTATGCCTGCACATTAACAATAAAATTGGAAAATTGCCGGGCTGATCAAAGTGCCCGTGAAAATTACATTGTCAGTTTTTCACATGTCAAATATTAGCTTTAAAACCAAAAAAAGCAACAATGGCAGCGACTTTGAGTTCAGAAGAAAAAACTGAAATAATTTTAAATATGAAAGATAATGCACATTTAAAATTTCTTAACTACAATCGCCGGCATTATTGCATTTTTTTTAAAGCTGTCTCTAACTTGTATTGTCATGTATTTATTGCTATTTTATTTGCTGGCAATTGCCAGAATACTAATCATCAATATCCATGCGCTGTTACTGCAAAACATCTCATACAATCGTCGACTATTCTTTTGTATTTTAACTAAGGGCGAACACGAAGAGTTTAAAACAAACTTTTAATCATAGAAGTT